ACTTGAGAAAAGACTAAACTGCCCCTAATGTAAGTATACATGTATATATACATTCCTACATATGAACATTCTACACTCCCCCTCAATGTAGATTACATAAATGTTAAGTAATCTTACATTGAATATAAGATTATTGAACTTCCTTTTTGGTAGTGCCTTGGTGAGTATGTCAGCTATTTGTTGACTAGTCGGGATGTATAGAAGTGACACATCCGAACTTTCAATTTTTTCTTTGATGAAGTGACGATCAATTTTAACATGTTTAGTTCTGTCATAGTGCACAGGGTTCTTGGTCATGCTAATAATTGATTGATTGTCACACCAAATTCTCATTGCAATAAGAGCAGAAAATTTTAGTTCTAGTAGAATCTTTTTAAACCATACTCTCTCACATATTACATGTGCAAGTGATCGTAATTCAGCTTCAGCGTTATTTCTTGATACAACAGATTGTTTCTTGCTACGCAAGTGATTAAATTACCCCAAACATAAGAGCAGTAACCAGATATGGATCTTCTATCTGTCACAGATCCAGCCCAATCAACATCAGTATAGATCTCAATATCTCTGAACATATTCTTCTGAAAGAATAATCCTTATCTAGGTGTCATCTTTCGATACCTCCAAATACGATAAACAGCACACGTGTTCTTCAGTAGGTTGAGACATGAACTGACTCACAATACTAATAGTGAAGCAGATGTCAGGTCTTGTATGAGCCAAATAGATAAGTTTGTTTACAAACCTTTGATACCTTTCTTTATCAACAGGTTTACTGTCACTTTTGGAACCAAGTTTAGTGTTTGTTTCCATAGGAGTCTCAGCAGATTTACAACCAAGCATACCTGTTTCATTCAGAAAATCTAAGATGTACTTCCGTTGAGATATAGAAATTCTTTTCTTGGATCTGATAATTTCCATTCTAAGGAAATACTTGAGCAACCTAAGATCTTTGATTTCAAATTCTCTAATTAGAAAGTTTTTCAGTTTCTGAATTTTTCATTGTGATCACCTGTAAGGATAACATCATCCACATAAACAATTAGTATAGCTCTTCTCCCTGTGATACAATGCTTGACAAACAGGACATAATCGGATTGACATTGCTGATATCCCATATGCTTTACTGTCCTGGTGAATCTGTCAAACC